GAGAGCAGTTCAATTGGCGATGAGCGACAAAATCACCCAGCGTACTTTATTTATCTATGTACCGAGGGGTACAGCACTAGGTACGGTAATAACGGAGGACGGCGCATTCAGAGATGACCAAGACTATGTGCTGTGGCCCAATAGCACGCAGGCAAATTGTCATTTGTTACCCCCCAATCTACGTAGTTCTCTCAATGGAAATCTATTTTGATGACTTTTGAGAATAATAGTAACTGGATTCCTTTCATTTCTTCTTATTGTCAGAATCTCGCTTCTGTCAGCTTCTGTCAAAGAATACAGTTTGTTCTTTTTGTGCTGATGACATGCATGTGTAATGTGATTACATTTAATATTACGAGACGAAACACGCCTCATCCTTCAGCAGTGCTGACACTGGGCCTTCATTCCTTCTAAACCCTTTCAGTCGAGATAATGGCGCAAAAGCAGTCATCTTACTATATGATAGTCAAGTAAATCTATATTTTCGTGCTAGCTATATTGAATGAATCATGTTGCCAAGTATATGTGCAGCGCTTCAAAGCATCATTACTAGGTGGAAATCAAATAGATCATCATAGGTTCATCGTCACGGTCATACTATTGCTATGGACCAACAGGCAGGGTGGCAGTCCTTGCCACAGAACCTCCAAGTCACTCAGGTAAGACTCGCTTGTCTCTTCGCTTTCCGCGGTACCCTCGGAGGGGGAAGGCAATGTCGTGAAGATGACGGCCGTGTGACTGCTTTGCCTGGCCATCAGTTCGTTAAGGATCAGGTGCTGTGCACGACTGGGAAGATCGTCAAATGACAGAGGAACAGACGCCTGGTTGGGATATCCGGAAGCACTTCTGGCCCCGGAGGAGGAACGTCGGGTGTAGATTGATTCCAACCGGTTCGAGAAGCGCGGAGGCGATGAGCTTGGCGCAAACATGATGGACGGGCCCGCATTTTCCTCTGTGCTGACTCTTGCTTCAGGTATGGGCGAGGACGAGAATCGGATGCTGGATGGTGAGCGGCTGATGGGTGGCCGGGTAAGCCCAACTTTGCTCTTGGGAGATGCCTCTTCGCCCGTAGTGATGATGGATGGAATATCCTGCTTGGCTGTAATCTCCTGAGGCGACCTTTGATCCGTTTTAGGCGAAGCCACGGCTTCATGATTTTGTGAATTATGATCATCAGTCTCCGGGGACCCTTCTTCTCCGTCGTCGTCGGCACTAGCGTACGGCTCAAATTCGCTATCACTGCTACTCTCGCTTGCACTGCTGTCGTAATGAACGAGTGAATCAAGTAGGCGATGCGTCTTCATGCCTAGACTGACCCCTCCAAATCCTTTGAAACTTGATATAGATCGCCGCCGCCGGGACTGGATAAATTTCCTCAGTCCGCCAACCATTTGACTCTGCGACCTTGTCATTTCGTGGCTCGATGCCTCACTCCAGCTGGGCATTCTTTCCGGTAGGCTTAAGTGGCCCGATACTTCTGGGGAATCTTTCGAGTTATCGCGGAACCGCCGTAGCTCCTGCCACCAGTCTTGATGCTCCAGCACAGCGTGAACACGATCCTGGGCTTCCTTGGTATCCGGGCTCAAGTCACCGTTGACAATGATGCGATACGCCTTCAAGTCGCCACATGCAAGCCAGAAGACCAGGACTTCCGCCTCGATTCGAAGTTTCTCAAGGAGGGCTTCAACCCTTCGCCGCTCGTCTTCAACATCGGTCTCGTATTCCACAAATACCGCCACCCGAAGCTTATACGTCTTCTTCCACGAGGGGACTGTGTTTAAGATGCATCCTAGCTGAAGGATGAGGGTGTATGTATCAAAGTTAGTCGTGAGGACATTTTGTTTGCTTTCATTATCTGCGCCAAGCTCGGCCGACATCTGAATAGGCCACAGATCGATATACTTTTGCTTATGCTGTCCATCTGGGCTTGGGAGCTCCAGATCTTCGAATCCTTTGGCCACGGCAACATTAATCCGGAGCTTGAAGAGAAGATCCTCAAGTATAGTCACATAGCTTCTGCAGCTCATAGAAAGGTCTTGCGCCTCATTCTCAGATGACTCGCCATGCGTCTCGTGAGAGTTGCTTTTGCTGTTCGTAGAGTCTTTTCTGTGAGCGGGAAGTCGTAAGACTTCAGCAAGCGATTGACCTTTCCGAAACTGATCGATAACCACGATGTTGGGCCTCATCCCTCCAAGCCCAGAATTCAAAACGACATTTCTGACGCCCCACTCCACACTCGGAGCCACGGAAATGTTGACAAAGGCCTTGACTCGAGAGTACTCAACCAACTTTGTCCATGCACTTTGCTGGCGACGAGTTTCTGGCACTGCGGCAGAGAAATCATCCGTCACAAGCACGTGGCCCAGCACAAATAAAGCTCCTTTCTTCAGTGAGTTGCAGAAAGAGACCATCTTGTACTGTTCATCGAGATTGGTCACGAAAAGCAGAATCTGAGGCCGCCAGAATTTGACATGTTCTTGACGAAGGCGAAGCAAATACTTGCGCACCTGGTGGTAGATCAAGCCTTGGCTAACATCTCCCCATGATTTTGGAGGCGAGGAGTAATGAATTAGCAAGAACAGCATAATGAGAATGCTAACACAGCCGGTGGCATAGATTCCATCCACAAAGAACATGCTGGCACCGCACACCAAAGTTCCAGCCGCCGCAGTCTGCCAGTTGAAGTAGTGGAAAGATGGTCGAAAATTGGGCGCGGAGCCGATCTTCAGAAGAAAGCACGCTAAGTTCGTAACCAAAAATGTCATCAGGTACGTCATGGTAACAAAGGATGCGATCTGGTTGATATCAAAAAGCATTGTAAGTTGTGCGAATACAAAAGTCAGAAATATAGCATACACCGGGTCGTCACTCTTCTTGCTGCCTTTGCCGAAAAGACTCAGCCCAGGAAGGAGACTGTCGCGCGCAATGGCCTGGAGGAGTTTCGCAGAACCAATGACTCCCATCAAGGAGGAGAAGAATGACGTTGCAAACTCCCCCAGCAGTATAACGACACCGGAAACATTGACCAGCTGGAGGACGCTGGTGTTCTTGTAGAATGACTCTCTGGTTATTGAGGCAGCCATTGCCAGGATCACAAGCGTGTAAGTGACGAAAGTCAGAGCCAGTCCATACAGCGTGCCCTTGGGTATCGATTTGCTGGGATTCTTCAAGTCACCCGACATGCTGGCACCCGCGAATATTCCGCCTGTAGCAGGGAACAAGATTCCGAAGAGGTCCTGAAAATTTTCTCGTCCGTGGATTTGGCTACCAGCGGCACCCTTGGTGAGCCTAGGCTTCAGGTTCTCCAGCAATGTCTGCAGGCGAATGCCCGTGAATTCAATGTTCAACTTGGGGTTACTAAATGGTTTCATGGCAATCACGGAAACTGGGATGCTGAATGTCGCCACTAGAAGAATGACTAGCAGTCCGTTACTAGCCCTCGAGAACATGGAGCTCCCGGCCAAGCATATTGCAGTGCATAGAACCAAGACGATAGTTCCCCATAGGTACTTCCACCAGAATCCTTCGTCAAGAAAGTTGTCCCAGTTGCCCGATTCCGTGCCAAAATTCTGTGTGAAACAGTCAACGAGACCGACAGCATTCATGCCAGTATTCAGGACATAGCCTAGGTAGAATACGATGCCAATTGAGCCACCAAATTCAGGTCCTAGTGATCGGGAAATCAGATAGTATGCGCCGCCGCCTCTTACGGTTCCGTTCGTTGCGATGGCGGAGAGAGACATTGTCGTTACCAGGTTGATTGTATAAGACGCAACAAGAAGACCTGCGTGCGTCAGCAGTATTTCTAAATGGCGGAAGTTGTCCGAGGCAGCATATACAGACCTAGCATCCCAAGTAAGCCAGCTTGCCCAAGAACGAACCCAAACCGAAGGAACATCAGGATACTGAGCACATTCAGTGTTGTCGGCACAAAGACTCCGGAAAATGTCCCAAGCTTATGTGCAGTCTCCGATGCACGATGTGCCGACGCATTTTTTTCCTTCTTATCAGGACTCGGTTCTCTCAGCGGCCCTGCAGAGTGGGAGACATTGGGTGCCACACTGTCCGCCGAGGAATCCTGCCTCCCACTGTCTCGACGCTGCCACCACCTAGAGATACCGCTGGAAAAGCCGGTCGACGACGGATGACGCTGATTATCTGACCTTCGCGAAGAGGCATTCAGCGGCTCATAGGGACGGGACGAGAGAGCGGTCCTCCAATCGAGGAGCCTGCTGTTGTCCTCAGGAGATGCCTGGGCTGGGTCGTTTGGATCCAACCTGGATACATCTTCTTCAGCGGTTCGTGTGGAAAAGTTCGGCCTTCGCTTGGACATCGACCCCGATTTGCTTTTGTTTAGTCCGTCGTTCATCAAAAGACACAATCCTAGACCTTATCGCAGTGCGGTCCCCACCCCTTCAATAGCACAATGGTCGCAGCCGGGGATCACAACAGAAGAGTGTATCACCAATTAAAGCAACGGCAACATGTTATTATTATAAAGCATTATACTTGATTAAAAGCATTGGTGTGTTCAAAGATTCGAAGATCCGGCAAAATCGAGCTCAGAATGAAGCAATTGACTTGGCATCACTGCAAACCGCAATGCTTGGAAGATCGGCAATGACCTCACGAAGACACAAAGACAAACAGTGCAAATTCCTCATTAGTCACCAGGCACAGGCCGCATCCTTCATCATCTTCCGTAAGCTGTTGTTATACTCATCTATACCCGAGGACAACGAAGGATGGACACTACCAATTTTCATTGATATAACGATAAGGATATTTTTATACAAACAAGGCATCGCTTCGGTGGAAAATACAGCCGCTGCAGAATACACTCTTATTTTACGCCCAAGTCGCGTTGCCGCTTCTGCGCTGCCTCACTGCTTGTGAACACTCATCAAGTTGGGCGAAGCTTTGTATTAAGTTTATGCAGGGTCCACTGTACCTCTCAACTTCTTATCTTGTCGTCTATTGCTTGTCTAGTCCGTTGCGAAATGGCGTCATCGGGGAGAACAGACAATGGGGAGGGACCGTCACATCAACCGGATCGGTCGACTCCTATGTCAACCCCGGCTAAGCGTTCGGAATCTCCTTCAACAGACGTCGGGTCAAGACAGGCCTCTATTGCACGACTAGCTTCGCCAGTTCCTTCCCTTTCAACCTCATATTCATCCAGACAAGTGCCTATACCAAACCAGTCTACGACAGGGAACGGACAGGACCTCGGCCGGGTGGATAATCCAGCCTCGCTACCAGGCCCAGGACAGTCCATGATTGCATCTGCGCTTCAGGAGAGTCTTGGTCGGTCACCCCCGAGACTTGGGACTCCACCGAGACGAACCGACTCCCCTGCCTTATTGAGTCAGCCGGTGAGGTCAAATTATGGCTCATTTGACAATAAAATAGGAAGGGAAGGCTCCATATATTCAAATGCGCCATATGAGGATCCTGAGGTTGTGAAGAGACACCTCGTGCAACCGCAGAACGCTATCGAATCGAATAGCTTTAGGGACATCGCAAGCAACGCCGATGATGAATTCTCTAGCTTGCAATTGCAGGGAGGAGATATTACAAGACAGGTCTATAGGTGGGCTGAGGATGCCGAAGCCGGGAATTGGGTACGAAAACATCTGCGAAGTAAGAGTTTCAGTCTCAGTAGACCTACGCCGGAGGAGGAAACCATGGACATCAATACCATACGGGTCCCAGGAGGTTTCAGAAGAGACTTCATACGAAGGACTGCCGGCAGCCCTCATCCTGGAAGTACCGACGGCCGCGCAAAGGCGCCAGCGACTCATCATCAGCTCCATACCAGCAGCTTCCTGGAGTTTCTCACCCTGTACGGTCACTTCGCGGGAGAAGAGCTGGAAGAGGACGACGAGGTTCTGGGGCCTGATGAGTATTTCTCCTCGGAACCATGGGACGAAGCAGAAGACAGAGAACTGGGGGAGGAGTCCGCGTTGCTCCGACCAGAAACTCCTGGCCGAAGGAAGCGTAAACCAAAACCGCGCGGTGGAACGGGAACCAACACAACGATTGGAGCAGCTCTACTTCTGCTCAAATCATTTGTTGGCACTGGTGTTCTGTTCTTGCCAAGGGCTTTCCTGAATGGTGGGATGTTATTCAGCAGTTTGGTTTTGCTTGCTGTATCCATACTCAGCTTCTACTGCTTCATCCTTCTGGTCAACACCCGCTTGAAGATCGATGGCTCCTTTGGTGACATTGGTGGTGCTCTCTTTGGAAAACATATGCGCCGGATCATCCTCGGATCTATTGTTCTCAGTCAACTGGGATTTGTCTCCGCATACATTGTCTTCACTGCTGAGAATCTCCAGGCGTTCGTTCTGGCTGTCAGCAAATGCAAGTCGTTCATCGACATCAAGTTCATGGTGCTGATGCAATTGGTCATATTTCTGCCTCTTTCGCTAATTCGTGACATTGGCAAGTTGGGTTTTACCGCACTTGTGGCAGATGTGTTTATTCTACTGGGACTCATCTATCTCTTTTACTACGACGTTGCCACTATCGCTTCGCAAGGTGGCATTTCGGATGTCAAAGCATTCAACCCATCCACATGGACTCTTTTCATTGGCACTGCCATTTTCACGTACGAAGGGATTGGTTTGATTATCCCAATTCAGGAGTCAATGAAGGAACCCCGTCGGTTCCCCGGCGTCCTTGCCGGTGTCATGGTCCTCATTACAATTGTCTTCCTCTCTGCTGGTGCTCTCAGCTATGCAGCCTATGGCTCCGCGACGCAAACCGTGGTCATTCTCAATCTTCCTCAGGATGATAAATTCGTGAATACGGTCCAATTTCTCTATTCTCTGGCAATCCTGCTGAGCACGCCCCTGCAACTCTTCCCGGCCATTCGAATCATGGAAAATGAACTTTTCACTCGCAGTGGCAAGTACAACCCCGGGATCAAGTGGAAGAAAAACTGCTTCCGCTTCTTTCTGGTCATGATTTGCGCGTTTGTTGCCTGGGGCGGAGCGGATGACCTTGACAAATTTGTCTCACTCGTCGGCAGCTTCGCCTGTGTTCCTTTGATTTACGTATACCCGGTACGTCTCCAGCAACTGTAACTGCTGAAGTTTTTTCTAAAGTTACTGACTCTTGGTCCAACAGCCACTCCTTCATCTCAAAGCTTGTGCGCAGTCCAGGCGCCAGCAGATCGCTGATATCGCTCTTTCCTGCTTTGGAGTCATTTCCTGCATATATACTACTTCATTGACACTCCACAACTGGGTGAACTCTGACAACACCAAGCCTCCAGGATACTGCGATTCATGATTCGTATATCGATACAAATTTCTATCACGACTGTCTTTTGGTGGGCGCGACCTATTCAGATATGAGACGACGATCCAATGCTGTTTGGCACTTCGATTAGAGAGCAAGCGATTCATATCATTCTTCTGTCATTATACTCCTTGGTCATGTTCGAGCAAGCCTGCATATGCACTTTTGCCATGTGTGTTCAATAGTTAAGATCATTACATCACTAGAGTCTAGCAGCCTTGCGTATAGGTTGCTAGTAACAAGCGAGATATTAGACCAATTGATGTGCTCAGACTCGGATTCAACGAGCACTGCTATAAATCTCCCGGGATCAAGCTCTCAGCGAGTCACACTGCCGAGACTATCAAAAAGAGCCAAGTAGTGGCGGTGCAAAGCATTCATTTCTGCAAGAAAGACTATGTACAGCCTCCAGGAGTACCCGGCCATCTCATCCACGTAGCACAGTTGATCAGAGCCGAAAAAGCTATTCTCTGGTGGATAGAAGCCGTCGGGTAATCCTCGAACGAGTCGACACTCGAAATCCATTTTTGCATTCATCTGGAGTAGGTCTAAGTACTGTTGAGAAAGAGGGAGATTATATAGGGACGGCATCCACCCGGGAGTAACCAAGAAACACGCGACTAAAACGGGAGAATCGCGTCGTCTATGCGCCGGCTTCGGTGACTTCCTTGCCCTGCTTGGCGGCCTCTGCGAGCTTGGCTTCCCGGCCTCCCCAGCTAGATTTGAGAAGGGCTAGTCAGTTACACATTCAGTAATTGTGTTGAGAGAAGATGAAGGCACAGGGGATAGCAGGTTTGAGGAAGGCGGGTAGAGGACGTACTTCCAGTAGTTCAGGTACCGGTATCCTTGAGTCATCTGAGCGGAGCAGTTGATGAAATGGCAGGCGAAGAGGAGGTAGTTCTTGGGAGAGACAGCGAGGGCGTAACGCATGAAGGTTGCGGAGTAGACTGTGAGCGCAGCAGTCATCTGTCCGGAGATACTGTTCGGAGTATTAGTTGAGTGAGTTGACTTGTATCCGCGCAGGAGGTGCAAATTAGATGGGCGGTTCAGGGCGACATAAGAGCAGTCCAGCCCGAGATAGAGGGGTCATTGGATCATATCGCAAAGCTCAGAACTGGGTGCGATGACGACGACGTACATTTCAGGGTCCTTTTGAGTGTCCATCACAGCAGCAATGGGAATACCAAAGTTCGAGGCAGGGCCCCAGAAGTCTGAATTGGCAAAACCTCGTCAGCGATTCTCATGCACATTATCCGGTCAGAACAAAACAGCATCCCAAGATCAGTTAATGAAAAGCCATCAGAAACCTGATTGCGCTTTCATGAGTACCGTCGCCGCCATCCAGGGCAGGCCGATCTCGGGCGAGAGCGACAAGGTGAGGCATTGTACGTACGTGTTGAGCAGATATAATCCAGAACCTTGTTGGAACGGATCTTAGCATTGATCGCCTTGATTGCAGCGGCCATGTTGAACAATTATTCGATGAAGCAAGGGTAAGGTCCAAAGACAAGTATCCCGACTCACTACCCAGGCACGTTTTGTTACCGTTCCCCGACCACGGAATCACAGCGCGGAGTTAACCGGCTATGTCACGTGAGTCCTTACTTGATATGAACGAGCTTAAGCGATATGAAGAGCTTTAAAACTTTTCAGAAGACATATTATGAATTGACTAGTGTATCGGTACTTTAGACATATTTAGCATTACTGCTTATCGATCCTAGACCAACTTCCTGGAGTTGATTCTCTTCGTCGGGACATTTCCAGCATCCGCACACGCCGCAACGCCGTTTGCCTGATAGAGAGATGTGTGCTGTATCTATTTGTCAAATAGACTTGAAATCATGGCGAGTCCTTTTTCCTTTTTCTAGCCTCAAAATCTTGCCGTTCTCAGTTGACCGCCAGGATATTGTATGCCATCGTGCCGTTCCGGAAATCAATTAATTATCTACCACCAAAGCCTGGAGGAGGGAAACCCCGGCCCTGACCGGGAGGTTGAAAGCCTGGGGGAGGCTGGAAGGCACCGGCTGCATCAAACCTAGTTAGCAAGGAGTTAACCATATTCAGAACATTGAATACTTACGAGGACCACCTTGAGGCGCAAACCCAGGTGGGGGACCGAAGCCAGCTGGACACAGATAATTAGTTTCGTATTTGGAGGGAAAACTCTTTAAAAGGAAGGAACTTACGAGGTCCTCCAGGGGGTCCTCCACGGCCAGCAAATCCCGGAGGAGGTGCTCCAGGAAAACCACCCGGTGGGAAACCACCGAAGCCGCCAGGGGGCGGTGGTGGTCCTCCAACGCCAGCAACAGGGCCTCCAAGGCCGACAGGAAGACCTCGTCCAGCGGGCTTGCTTATTCCTGGGCCAGCGGCAAGAGTGGCAGCTGCAGCTGCAGCGCCGGGCGCACCTGTTCCAAGTCGCGCGGATGGTTCGGCGGGAGGTGGGCCATCAACGGAGCAGGAAACGACGTGAGTACCGCGCACGATTGTGAGACCGAGAGTCCGCTTCTCTTCCGCTTCGACCAGGGGAGCATTCGACGGTCCAGCAGCTGGCTTGGACTTCCGCTTGACGCGGCGGAATTCTTCTGTGTCTGCGAGGACGAGGTTCATGTGCTATAAGTCAAAAAGAGTTGTCGTTAGCTACATGTATATGTGCTGAAAAGCGCCTGGTAGAATTCACCTTATCGAATGCGAGCATTTGCCCCGTCATCTGTCGGCCGTCGGTCAGGGTAATCCTCATCCGATAGTTGATCTGCACGAATGTTAGACTCTGCGGGATGTTGAGCTCTAGATGACCCCATCGAATCAATGACTTACGAGGTTTTGCTGCAAGTGAACGCAGTGTCAGCTATGAAAGACCGCAGAAACATCATCTTCGACAAGAGAAACAACGAAGGGAACAGCATGACGAAAACTTACCATCTTGCCCTGCTTGTTGGCGGCCATGTTGGCTGGGCAATGCGCACGAATGCGACTTGGGAATAAAACCAAAGAATGTAGTGAGACAGTAGAAGATGGACTCCTCTACTTGATCATTCACTTTTTTGAGCTTATGCGCCCGTAGATAGGTAATAGAGAATTCCAGCTAAAGCAGGCTCTCCGACTCTATCATTCCGCTGGCAACGGGAGTCGGAGTCGTGATCGAGACGCGGCTCTGCGCTTAGCGCCAAACGACCATGCCAAGACGCTAAGGGCTCTCGCTTCCCACCCCAACCCACACATACACTTTTGCACACTTTTCGAACCTTCGATTCTTCCACTCAACGAGTCGACCAATCTAACGCCAAAAGCAGTCGCCATGGTATGTTGCCAGTTTTCTCTGCAGAGCCCACCACAAATCGAGGAAGAAGGACATTTTTTTTTCTAACAATTTATCGCTATGCAGTCGGACGGAAAGGACAAGAGCGCAAACCCCATGCGCGAGCTGCGCATCCAGAAGCTCGTGCTCAACATCAGTGTCGGCGAGTCTGGTGACAGACTTACCCGTGCTGCTAAGGTGCTTGAGCAGCTGAGCGGTCAGACTCCAGTCTACAGTAAGGACACCCGAATTCGATTCTGAAACCGTTCTTTTCGATGCCGTTGGACGACGAAGGGGAGGAAGATGAAGGAGCAAGACGAAAAAAATCAGAGTCATGGAAACAGTATGGCTGATGGGACACTTTTTTCCAAATTATAGGCAAGGCCCGCTACACTGTCCGTACCTTCGGTATCCGTCGTAACGAAAAGATTGCCGTCCATGTCACCGTCCGTGGCCCCAAGGCCGAGGAGATCCTCGAGCGTGGCCTCAAGGTCAAGGAATACGAGCTGAGAAAGAAGAACTTCTCCGAGACCGGCAACTTCGGCTTCGGTATCAGCGAGCACATCGATCTTGGTATCAAGTACGACCCTGGTATCGGTATCTACGGTATGGACTTCTACTGCTGCATGTGAGTGGCCCTCGGTTCTAGTTTTGGCTTCCCCTGGACTGCCAGTCAAGTCCATTGCTGACGATTTGTGTCTTTTTAGGACTCGCCCTGGTGAGCGTGTTGCCAAGCGCCGCCGCTGCAAGTCTAGCATCGGTTCCAACCACAAGATCAACCAGTCTGAGACCATCAAGTGGTTCAAGAACCGCTTCGACGGCATTGTCCGGTAAATATTCCGTCCACGGGTCTGCGGAGGGGCCGCTTTGGGGTTGTGTGTTTTATGATGAATCGATAAAAAAGGCGGGCGTTTCTCTACATTGCCGCTCTGCTCTGAAATGCTCCTTTCTACCACGGCATATGGATAGGCGTGCTAGGAATATCAATCCACAATTTCAAAAACGCATCCACTTTTCACAATGAAGGCTTCACAAAGGGTGATGTTTTCCGCATAACCATTGTTGAAAAGTTTTGCATGATGCTCCCATGAGTCCATGGGCTGCTCATGGGATGTTCCTGGCCGTGGGGTCGATGGCTTTCATCCGAGTGCTTTCCGTCAAGGAACACTTTCGGTTGTGTTATTATGTGGGCAGTCCAGGGTTGAAGTCGTAGGACTTGGGTCACCCAACCCTTTTCTGATGCCAGACTGGCATCAGAACGGACACCCTTCTAGCACTGGCGTAGGTCGTCCTGTGTAGGGTGTTCTTGCACTGTGTAGACACTCGTAATGGCCCGTAGTATTCCGCCAACTCATCAACATCACCTCACTTTACGGCAATTCTAGATTGACTGGCTATACAACAACATCCTGATCATGTGAACGCCAATTGCACACAGCGGTTACCTAGCGCAAGCTGAAGATGGTGTAGGCTAGGTATAGGCTATACGGCAATAGCCACTGGTATTTCAGGATGATATTGACTCGCCCTTTTCTCAGAATCAACAGCGCAATTATGCTGTAGGAAAAGAAAGTATCATGAACACTGTGAATAATCATTCTGATGTTGATATTGACACGGCACCATGCATTGCATTAACATGTACAAGACAGTTCCAATTTCCCTTTCTTTCCTTCACAGCCGTATCAGCTCAATCAACGGCCCCTGGTGTATGTATTCCAGAGCTTCGAGAGGATGCCACCCTGCTCAGACTGCTCCAACCAACTCTGCCGACGAGCAGCCACGCTAGGATCAGTGGCATTCCGCTTCGTGCTCGTCAAGCCTCCAAAGAGACCTGTGCTTGACCGTCTCCGCTCCCCGCTCCCAGTGCGTGGAGGGCTTGCTCCTTGGGCAGAAGTGTTGGACGCCTCGGATGACGTTGAGCCCTGTTCAATTGTTAGCACCGAAAGACACAAAGCAAGTTGATGACGAGAGGAATTCTTTGAAGAGTAGTTTCTAAGAAACTTATCAGACGTACATGTCTGTCGTCCATGTCGGTAGAGGGTCTTCTGCCGGGCAGGGTTTGGATAGCGCCGCCTCTAACCCAGACACTGGGCTGTTCGTAGCGGTCACCTATAGTTCCATGCCAGTGGCGTTTTGGGGATTCGGACTCGTTGCTCATTTTGGATGAATTGACTGAGAGTTGCGAGAGGTTGTTGGCAAGATAGTGGTTCCTAGTAAGTGTGATAAATTAGGCAACGCTCCAGTATCAATTGACTCAGGGTTATTCTTGGATGAAGATCAATCAGAGCGAGGTGATCTAAGAAATAGTAGATAATAGATGCTCCAGGATAATATATAATCAAGAGGTCACACAACCTTGCGGGGATTAAAAGGATGACAAATGGAGATGCTAGGTGAATATCACTCACTTACCAACTGTTAAGAAAGTTTGGCTGCTCATCTTGTGAAATGCCATGACTGATTGGTGTATATATAGCCGACTGTTCCTACCCAGCCAAGGGAGGCGTCTCCAGACGAGAGGGGTAAGTTACCTATCCTAGCTGCCCTAAAGCAGTGAGACAAACTCTGATGGGATGATGTATCGTGGATTGTCAATTGCTTTCCTGGAGCTTAATTGGGGCAAATAAGAGAATGGATTGATCCAATGGTTGCTCGCAGCTGGTCATCCTTCCAGCAATTGGTATCAACCAAAGATTGGTACGATGATTCATCATCTTCGCAGAAGCGTCCAGGTTTGCTGATGGCAGCACTGATGGACATGCTCTAGGCGAATCACCGCTGAGGGATGATCATCCATGCTCAATCAGACCCCGGGATGTTCGGTTCAGCAAAATGAGTGTCGTCGAGGTGATCTCGTGATGGCTGACGTCAAGATCCTTTCTTGATGCGGGGGGAACCTCGATCGATTCATCCATGGAATCGTATTTGCAGGGCGGATGGAATAGACGTCCATCTGATAAAGTATCCATCGTGTCTCACGCCAGCTGATCTCGATTGATACAGTTGATAGTTGATACTGTTTCTGATCGCGATAAGCATTCGTCGAAGTCTTTATCTCCGATTGGATCAGGAGCATACCCATTTTGTGATGCCTCAGGCTGCAATCGGCCTCCAGGAATGTTGTTACTTTCCCCGCAAAGACTGGCCAAGCTGTCGGCTGCGACGAAGGTCAACTCCGTCTGGTTGGCTCTCCTGTTGCTTTTGCCGACGAAACTTGCATCCATCTCAACTCATATCGCTTCGAGATTCGTTCGCTAGGATGTATTCTTCACCTAGCTCAGCTCCTCGGTTATCAGATGGCTTATCACCGCCAGGCTGGGGAAATCCCCCGCTCATAGGCCTCGTTATATATAATGGTAGCCAGATATTCTATCAATATGAACCATTGAGACAAGAAAACGTACCCAGGTAGTAACAGAAACAGCTTGAGAATCACAGAGCAACATGGAAACCATTCGATATCCGTATGTGGGGTCTCTCGCCCACCGAGGCTATGTCCAAGGCGTCACCATTACATCGAAAGCTACGAACACTCCCCTTTGTAGCTTCTTTGGTGGCATTCGCTATGGCTTAGCTCCCTCTCAGCGATGGCGTAGAGCCCAGAGACTATGGCACCCAGGACTAGCCCGGTCAGTGTGACAGGCTTTCAGGCGTCTGTCCGCAACCTTCGTTCATGAACCTTCCTTTTGGAGATGAATGGACTCCATCCGTGACTTTACTTTGTCTAAATTGGATCACCCAGGCCTGCCAAACTTTTATGACACGACTCCATATTCCGGCACACTTCGAGTAGGTGCATTCCAGATGGCAACTGCATGTGACGAGTTTGTGGAATTTGAAAGAGCACCTCCATCGCGCTCAGAAATAGATTCGTTGACAGATATAGAAACAACCGACAATAAACCCCAACCCAGATATTATAAACGCTCTAAGCAGACATCACAAAGACATTCCCATTTTTCATATCTCCATACAAATAACCCCGTGTACGCGGCCTGTATACAAGACAATACAACCTCATTCATTCGTAATTTCGACTTTGGGCCGTTTTCGAGCTCTACGCCTTGCCGATCTTACAGATGAGGTCCTGGCCATCGACGGAATCGCCCTCCTTGACGAGCAGGCCAGAGACCTTTCCGCTGTGAGGAGCAGAGATAACCATTTCCTAATAATTCCATTAGCTTGTTTGACATGTCAGTATTTTGCACAAGAGATGCGGACTCACCATCTTCATGGCGCTGAGAACGGCAACGGGGTCACCCTTCTTGACCTCCGAACCCTCGTGGACACGGATTTCCACGACGACACCGCTCATGGGAGCACCGATTTGGCTACTGTCGCCAATGTCGGCCTTGGGGCGAGCGGTGTTGTCGACAGAGGCCTTGTTGTCGTCCACGGTGACCTGACGGACCTCACCATTGACCTCGTAGAAGACTTCACGCTGACCGGTCTGCTCGGACAGGGGGCCGATAGCCAGCATCTTGAGGATCAGGACCTTACCCTGCTCCAGCTCGACGTGGAATTCCTCGCCGATCTCGGGCTTGGCCAAGAAGTAGCGGGTAGGCAGGATGGACAGATCACCATACTTCTGCACGAACTTCTTGTAGTCCTCAAACACCTTGGGGTACATGGCGTAACTGGCCACGTCGTACTCGGTGGCTGAGCCATACTTCTCCCGAATCTGGTTCTTGATCTTGGCCAGGTCCAGAGGCTCCAGGTAGAGACCAGGGCGCTTGTCGAGCTTGCGGCGCTCACGCAGAGCCTTGGATCGCAGAGGCTCAGGGAAGCCACCGAAGGGCTGGCCCATAAGACCCTCCAGGAATTCAAGGACAGAGCCGGGGAAGTCCAGCTCGCCAGCACGGGCGACAACGTCCTCGGGAGTCAGCTTGTTGGAGACCATGAACTGAGCCAGGTCACCGACAACCTTGGAGGTGGGAGTGACCTTGACAATGTCGCCGAGCAGGTCGTTGGCCGACTCATAGGCCTTCTTGGTCTCGGCCCACTGCTGACCCAAGCCGAGTTGACTGGCCTGGAAGAGAAGGTTGGTCAGCTGACCACCGGGAATTTCGTGCTCGTAGACCTCAGGGTCGGGGCCGGTCAGACCAGCCTCGAATGGCGAGTACAACAAGCGCAGCTGTTGCCAGTAGGAGTCGATGGCACGAACGTGGGCCCGATTGAGCTTGGGGTCGTGCTCGGTGCCCTCGAGAGACGCAAGGATAGCACCAACGCTGGGCTGAGATGTCATACCGGACATGCTGTCGGTGGCGGCATCGACGGCGTCAGCACCGGCCTGAGCGCAGGCAACCATGGAGGCCACACCGGTACCGGCAGAGTCGTGGGTGTGGACGTGGATGGGGAGGTCGGGGTAGCGCTCACGGATGGAGCCAACCAGCAGGCGCGCGGCCTGGGGCTTCAGCACACCGGCCATATCCTTGATACCAAGGATGTGGGGGTTCAACTTGACAATCTTGTCCACCAAGGCCAGGTAGTACTCGAGGTTGTACTTCTTTTTGGGGTTCAGCATGTCTCCGCTGTAGCAGATGGTGGCCTCGACGACACCCTCGGCGGCCTGCACAGCCTTGATACCGACCTCGAGCTGGTCAACGTCGTTGAGAGCATCGAAAACACGGAAGATGTCGACACCGCACTTCTTGGCCTGCTTGCAGAAGTGGTAAATGGCGTTGTCGGGAAGAGATGAGTAGGCGACACCGTTGGCACCGCGGAGCAGCATCTGGAAGGGAATGTTGGGCACGGCCTTGCGCAGCTTGCGCAGACGGTCCCAGGGGTCCTCGTAGAGGAAGCGCATGGCGACGTCGAAGGTGGCACCACCC